CATCACCCACCACCAGGGGCTCCTGCAAAGATCCAAACCCAAACCCGACGCTCCCTGCTGGGTTAGCAGCCCTGGCAGTATATGCCCCCAGCTCTGGAGCTCCTGCACGGCTAATGCAGGCACAGGGAGCAGTGCTTAAAGATTAATGGGCTCAACAGTGAGAGTGGCACAGGCCTGATAACACCAGGGGATCGAGGCTGAGATTACGTTCCTGCTGTCTACTGCTTGGTCCATTAATTTGGTTGATATCACAGAAGTCTGTAAGTTGGAAATGAGGGTCTAACTCAGAGCTGCCCAGCCTTACACTGTAAAAAATTATTTGATGTTTTAACTTGAAGAGTAAGTAACCTGGTTGCCTTGAATTTTTAGTTAATTAAACTCATGAACGCAAGTTCAGTAAGAGAACAATAATCTGTGCTTTACATTGTGTTAACTTATTATTTGAAGTTTAATGAGCGCAGATGAGGTGGATCAGGTGTGTTGGATTAGAGTTGGAAATGAACTATGCAGGGTGGCCAGATCTTCTGGAGCAGAGTTGGCCATCTCTAGTTTAACCAATCAGAGAACGTTGTATCGTGTGCATGATGTGAAGATGAATTAAGGCATTTACACAACTCAACAAATGTAAATCATTTTACTAAAAACAATACATGCCAGTCTTCAGATCATGACACAACACTAAATATTTTAATAGTTCCAGATGAGAAATGGAAGAAGAGAAGAGAAGAGAAGAGAAGAGAAGAGAAGAAAAGAGAAGGAGAGAGTAGAGTAGAGGAAAGAAAAGGAAAATGGGAAGAGAAGAGAAGAGAAGAGAGAAGATTAGAGGAAAGAAGAGAAGAGAAAAGAGTAACAAACAGCAGAAAATTAAATACTCCGATGCGCTTCTGTGGTTTAATTTCTATCAAAACAGTAACATGACTGACATAAAAATGTTTGGATTTTTTCCATAAACAACTATGAAAAAAACCCTAATTGGGTTAAAAGTCTCCTTTAAGCGGAGTTACTAGGACAAATAAGTAAAGTAATTCCCTGAGCTGAGTGGGCTGTAGGTCTTAATTAGCTTTGTTGCATTAACTGTTGGCTTAATTGAGGCTTGCATAATTTTACTTTTATGTTTCTGTGTCAGCAGTAACACCAATTTAAGCAAGTATACAATATGCAAAGGGACAAGTTAAAGAATTAAAGGCTAAAAGCACATGTCCATTTACATATACAGTATGTGCAATAGAATAAATGATTATGACTGGCATATTTCCAGAGTGTTTTTTCTCCAGGCTATGACTCTGCTGTGTTGATTTTACTGATATGTATCCTGACTATTTTTTCCAATTTTTTTGAGGCACATTAAAAAATGTGTTGTGTTTTATTGTTTGTTTTTTTTGTTACTCGTATGTAAATAGTTCCTCTAGTCACATTTATATATTTAGTGTATTTTTAAGATAGAATGTTAAAAATTTGGAGCTGAGTCAACCTACTACAACTTACTGGTAATTTCAAGGACACACAGTGTAGACCTAGAAAAGTTTGTCTTAATTATTAGACTTAGTCTTGATATCTACAAAGATACACAGAGTACCTAATATTTATTGTATGCTGACCACAAGATTTTGACAGTTCCATTCTCATTGGCTTCCCACACGTCTGTGCATACGCATTTCTGTGAAATGTTTATCAGTTTGATGGGAATTACAAGTAGTTGCCAGCACCGTAACAGCATGAGCCTTTTTCTTTGAAGCATTTCGTAGCTAGTAAGCAAGATATCCTTACATGTTTGCATTTGTTAGTGAAAAGGCAACCTATAGTCAAAGTAGGCCATTTTTGGCCATTTTGAGCAATTAAATCAAGCAGACTCTTTGACAATAGGCAGAAGTAGGGCTTACATTACTAACCAGTGCAGACTGGGCATTTTTGACCCAATTTTCTCCCCAATTTAGACACTGCAAATTCCTAACCATTAGCTAAGTGTCCCCCATCACATAATGTTACCAAGCAGGGAGGGTGAGAGCTAGCAGGCGCTTCCTCCAAGACACATGAAGTGCCATTACATCGATTCAAACTGCTGCTTACACAACGTCATTAGACAGCTAAACATGTAGAAGAGAACTGCCAATTCTGTTACATCAGCTAACAGACGCCAGCATTGCCTAGCATCACGCTGAGAGATGGGAGAGATGAAAGACCACTCTGCCGAACCAGAGAGAGCAAGGCCAGTTAAGCTGTCTTCGACTCCCGCCCATGGATGGCAGTAGCATTATCAGGTATCGAACTTACTACCCCAGTGATAGGACCAATGCTTAAGACTGTTGTTCCACTCAAGAGCTCAACCAGTACAGATAGTTTATAACATCAGCAATATTTAGACTAATTTTCATTCCTGAAATAGCACTCTCTTCCCTGCCATGAGACATGTGGGAGATTGATGGCACCGTGGTGGCAGAGGTCACTGGGGTCACTCTGATTATTCATGCCTGACATGTCTTTTCTCACTCTTCTCTTTGGAAGTCAACATGGATGATTCACCTCACTAAGAACAGCTCCTGTGGGTCTGAGACGCTTCTGTCTGAACACCTGCTAGGCAACCAATTTTACTTCACCTCTTCAGAACATGGAAACATCTTGGCAATGTATTAAGTTGCCAGCGTTTGCACTTTCAACAAAGGACTCCACGCAGCAGTGGACAGTCTGCCTTCAAATATGCTGACAAGCAATATTGATTTCATCATAGATCTAACCAGTGTCTGCCTGGAGGGGACGTTTGCTCATGGTATGAAAAGCTGGGCTGGTTGTGTTTCATTTTAGTTTTTTTCGCCTGTTACTTGTCATGGAAACTAACAGACTGATGCACATGGCTAGAGGTGGTCGGGCTTTTTTTTGTGTACTAGAGCTGTACTGTTTTTGTCAATGATTATCACAATACCGGTTGTTGTAGTACTGATATTGCAGACTGATGCAATATGTAAATCATCCCTCTAAAAAATAACCACATTTCTATAATGTGCTGATCTCATATGCTCCAGTTTGTGTCAGTGTTTTGATGCACCAAAGCATTCTTGTGATCCAACAAGATAAAACAGTCAAAACAATGCAGGCCAGACTTTAATAGCATCTCATTAGGAATTCACTAGTGTGTTTTTATCTCATATTATACGTCATACAACAATCCTGTATGTAGTACAACTGCATGAAAGGGACAAAACACTAGGATTTCAATTATATTGCTACATATTGCGAAACCCCACAGGAATAAATCTACATTTATTGCTTTTAGTCAGAAAATACAGAATATAATATTAACAATCACCGGCACCTTCTACAAAGTAACGGTCAATTATCAGATCTTTTTATAGATCCTTCCTTCTGTGTCTTTTCTAGAGGAAAAAAAATGAAGAGTCAAATTGGTACATGCAGATATGTACCATATGTATAACTCCAATGCTCAAGGGAATTTCCTTTGTCACTGTGCCTCTTTTTCTTTTGGGGTTTGGGAATTGTAAATCTTTTAAACACTCTCAAGCTCTGAAAACATAAGATTACATAATTCATTACATGCAAATCCATACACTGTTTATGTCATGTTCTCTACTGTATGTTGCTAAAACTAGATGAGCTCTGCAGACCAGAATGACAGAACATAGGAGTGCAATCTGTAGACAGGATGATACATCTCCTGTTTTTCATCATTTTGATTCAGGTTTGGGTCTTCAAATACGGCTAGGTTGTTAGAGTTTCTTCATGAACACTGATGATAAGAGGATGAAACATTTGCTTGGTGTGTGTCTGGATTTTTGTACTCTATTTAACGGAATAAAAATACTTTTTGCTAGACTTGTCTAATATTTTTGCAGCGTGCAGGCAATACTTTTTCACTTCATTCTGATTCAGAGTTTTTGCTTTACACACCTGAAGCAACTTACTTTGCATATTTTTGGAGCACAAGAATCGTCTTTTTCACACAACAATCTAATTTTTTACATATGCAATATGCCCTGTGGTATATTGAAAACACAATAGTAAACCCAAAATTTACCAAAATAATGAGTTTAATTATATGAATTTATTGAACTTGATTCATCAAAACACCCCCAGATTAACTTACCTGGATCAGTAATTGGTCAAGATATTCACATTCTAATTAGTCATTCCCATATTAATTACAAGCACATAATAATCACAAGATAGTATTTTGCCCATAATAAAGACCTACTGTATACATACCAAGAGATGTGCCCAGGTACTTAAATACTCAGTCAACCCTTCCAGGTTCCAGCATTTAAATACTGAAATTACATTACGTGTTCGAAGTGTATCGTTCACACCATGCTGAAAATAACCGTTCTGTGGTTTAATTTCTGCTTTGCGTTTACTGGGAATAAATGGCGTTTGGTGAAGTTACTTCACGGTGAGCCTGATGACCTTCTGCAGAGAATAATTTATTTGTGAATAGACTGTGTCAGATATTGCATCTCAGTTCGCCTTGATGGAACTGCATGGGTGGGAGCAGGACAAAATGTTACAGTTGCTGGCAGGAGTGGGACAAATGACTCCAATTTTCTGCTGGAGCGGGCGGGGACAGGGGCGGGATGAAATCTTGCGGGAATGGACGGAAGCAGGACTGAACAAACAGTCCTGTGCAGACCTCTGCCTTAATGTAAGCTTGTTAAGGCCATGACTGAGAAAGCTGAGAGAGCGCGATCCAGTCTGGTGTGGCTTTTACTCTAACTAGCTGATTATCTAGGTTCAGAAACAGTGAGAAAGTTACTGATTTCCCTCTGCTTTTTTTGATAATAAAATATTGTAGCATTGTTCAACAAAGAAACACAGGGGCACCGATGATATGCTCCACTAAGTGCTCTTTACTAAACACTCTGGCAGAAAGGGGCACATACAGAACCCCAAAGGACAAATACACCAATCCCCCTATTCCTGTGGTTAACAGAAAATCTACTATTAATCTACTATTACTATCAAAATTAATCAGAATGCACCTCCCCAATACTTACTTGCTGGGGAGCTTGGTGGTGGGGGCAGCAGCGGCCGGCGGGTGGGGACTGGTGTGCTTGGGGGCTGTGGACTGCTGCGGCAGGGCACTCTGGGCCCATCTGTACAGGGCTCTGTGATGACCCTGTGGAAAGGGGGGTCATCACTCACACTGCCAGGACCTATCAGTAAACAAACACACGAACAAGTGTTAAAACATGAATTAGCATATTGTCGCAGTTGTTGCAATTTCTTGTTAACAGTAATTTTGAAAGGCACGCAAAAGTTACATTAACCAATGTTACATTCAGATTTTTCCATCTCCTTTAAAATTGCTGTTTCGGACTTCAAGTTTTCTAAGAAAAGTGATGGATTGATAAGGGGTGGTCCATGCACTAGGCAAACGGAGACGGCCGCCTAGGGTCATCACAAGTCAAGAGCCTCATAAAAATACAAATTACATATACTGTACATGCTGATGTTAATTCACCTATTCCAAAATAAACATACATTGTAAAAATAGATGTTATTTGTGACTGCGATTATTTTCAGTTATTTTAATTAAGCCACAGCCCCTGTCATGGTTATAATGGAATATTCCATGTTGTTATGTGATGAGACAACTGCATGAAGACAGACTGTTATGAACAAGACAATCAAGGGATAATCTTCATCATGGAGAGGAGGTTCTTCTGTGTGATTTTTTGGGGTGTTACAGTGCAAATCTAATTAAAATTATGCAAATGTAGCAGAGAAACGCAAAAAGTGGGAGGAAAGCAAAAAGTTTGTTATCACACTGCCAAAGTTTACTAAAGGCCGCAACTAAAGCTAGTGTTACTGTTTGTATAAATAGCTCCAGTGTTGGGGTAATTATTAAAAAAGTATTCCCATCCAAATTACAAAGTACTTCTCTTAAAATGGAGTAGGATTACATCATGTATTACTTCTTGGAAGAACTACTTATTACTTCTACACTATTATGTACCAATTTATCTCACTATATTGACAGATAATGTTTGTTTCAGACTGCTGAGATAGGCTCCAGCTCCCCCCGCGACCCAGAAGGAGAAGCGATGTGTGTGCGTATGTTTCAAGCATTATTTATTAAAACAAGAAAAATGATCTGGCAATATAGTGAGATAATTTCATTTAATAAAATAACTCAGTCTAGAAAAGTCTAGAAATAAATTAAATAACCTATAATATTCTTACAACATCTTAAAATGAGAAAAATTAGATATATTGGCAAGATTCACTTGCCAATATCTTATTGTTTGCAGTGTAAAGGGCTGCACCAAACTAATTTAAAATGTGCATCCAGGGGGCCCCATACCTGTCTTTTGACTAGCGGCCCAGAATCACTAAATCCGCTCATAGTTAAGACCACTTACATTTGGTAATGTTTAATGTTTAAATTTTATGTCAGTAGCAGTCAGTGACCTGTCAAGGGTGTGTCCTGCCTTCCTCTGTGTGTGTGTGTGTGTATGTATGTGTCAGTAGCAGTCTTCAAACAGAGCTAGATTAAATAAATGACCATAACATTTTCAATCTTTCCTTCTTTCTGATCCCTGTACCAGACACACATTAATCACCTACAGGTCACTCTAACCTTGTTTCCTCCTAACCTTGACCCTCTTCCCTGCTTTTAGTGAGCGATCCATAAACACAACTCAAAAACCTCCATCAGTTGTATAGTTCACACCTCTGTAGCAGATCTTGCAGATCTTTTACACTACAAGTGATTTTGCTTCACTTGTCTCCTCCTTTAATTCATTAGAAAGGAAGGTTTCAAACTAAGTCTTGCCTTTCATGGTAGCATTGTTTAAAGCAGGGCAAAGGTGACAGTGTGAATCACAATGACCAGCTTTTGGTGGTCAGGGTGTCTACAGCAACTCTACAGCTGTAAGTGAGAGACAAAAGCAGACGGAGCTTTGAATTGGAACTAATGTAGCTTAGAAGTAATGGAAGCTTAGCACTGCACAAACTGCATGCCTAAATCATCACATATAAGCCTCAGACCAAGCTGAACGGTTAAGTAATGTCAGCCCTGCTGATGTGGTTTCTGATACGGCATACTGCCATCCATAAAAATTGCCAAAAATATGGGCAATATCCAAGATGCTACTTCTGTTTAGCTAAGTCAGGGGTGTCTGAATTTTTTTCAAAGAGGGCCAGACTGTACTGTGTTAAAATACCTGAGGGCCGACATATCAATCACAAATGGTTAAAAATATGAAGTTTTCAAAATATACAATCTGAGCTTTCTGTGTGCTAACATGTTTCCTATCGCTGCAGAAAAGATGCATGAGGCTTCTTTTATTGTTGAATTGTTCATTCAGAACAGTTGGAAATTGAGAATCGCTTATAACAAAAATTTTATTATTTAAGAGTAACAATACAACTGGTCTAATGTATTAATCGTGTTCCTATTCAAGTGTTTACTTGTTGAAAATATAATTTGAGATAAACTAAATAAAAATCTATAAATTACTTAAAGGGTTAATATTTACTGAACTACTGAATTTGCTCATGTTTTCCATCTTGCCAAGATCAGCAGTTTTCAGTGTTTAGTTTGAGCTTTATGTCTGTAATCTTGACTAAATGTCATTCACTAAATGCAGGTCTGGTCAGCTGCCACCATCAGGTGAGAGGGAAAACTGCAACGTACTGCCTGGCGGGCCACTTATAATATGCTGTAAAACAGAAGCCGGGGGCCAATTAAAATCTGTCCGTGGGCCGCACTTGGCCCTGGGGCCGGACTTTGGACACCCCTGAGCTAAGTAAAGTACTTTAGTCCATTTTATAGACTTCAGCATGCAGGGTCAGAAACATAATAAAGAAGTCTATTTGAAGTCTATTAACAACTTGTTTTAAGGAAAGTGTGTGATGACTTAGCTATACAGGCTGCATGATACAAATTGCATAAGCTTCCATTAGCTACATTAGTCTTGTAGCTCCAGTGCAAAAGAATGAAGCTTTGCACACCAAACTTGGCTGATCAACCACAATTGGGCTAGAGGGAAGATTGTGTAAATTCAAATCTATGCTAAAATCAGGTGCTCTTTTTGTTCAGACTGCTCCAGACATGGAGACAGAGCTCAGAAGATGGAGAAGTTGTACAAAGTTTTGGTTGACTCAAAGACGCAGATCCAGCACAGCAGGGTGTGCGAGAGCACTCCAGATCACAGTGGGACGTGGATAAGGTGCAGAACGAATGAAGCACACTCCCGATTTGCTGGGAAAAGCCTAAACTGACTCCTCATTGGTAGACTGACGAAAAGCTTCCATAAGAGCCAGTTAATGCAAGGAAGACCTCCTGGAGCGAGCATTGTGTGGAACTGGGTTAGCAGCTCAGAGACCTAGTGCCACTTTAACCGTTCCCAGGCTTTTCCATAATCATCCAAATGTACTGCAGCGCTGACTACATCATTGCCACAGTGAGGACCAAGTATAACTAAATTCTCTATGGAGCCTCAAACATCACAGCAGCAGGGGTTTTCCACAAATTTCCAGGAGCTGTGCAAATGTCATCTCTGTAGACCCCTGCCATCTCTGTAGACCCCTGCCTCATCTCTTGAAAAATGTTCAAAAATAAATGCATGAACTTCATATGAAAAAGCAAGTAGCCTTACTGTACTCTTTCAGAAATTTGCTTTAAATGTGTGCATGATTTTCTACCAGTAGGCGTCAGCATAATTAGTTACAGTCAAATGTACTGAAGGTGCAGTTTAAACATATTTATTTTCCCAGTATTAGTTTAGCTATGACACTAATTACATGTGATGGATAGTGTTGACAAAATTCAACAGCACAATATTCTCCAGATTATGTATATCTCACATACTTTCTAAGCCGCTTAGCCTTTTGGGTAGCTGGAGCCTATCCCAGCCGTCATTGGGCACAAGGCACAAAATACCCTGGACAGTCGCCAGTCCATTGCAGGCCAGACAGACAGACATATACATTCACACCTAGTGTGTTTGGACTGTGGAGCACCCAGAGAAAGCCCCTACAAAAAGGGGAGAATATCCACAAACTCCACACAGAAGGGACCCTGGCCACCCGGCCAGGAACCAAACCCAGGCTGTGAGGCGACAGCGCCACCCACTGCACCACCATGCCACCTATGATGTATATGAGATGATGTTAAATATTGGTACTGTACACTTGCAGAATGTTTTACAAACCTGGCAAACATTCATTTAGTTACTTTCCAGTCAAAACAGCCATCAAGAATGAGTAATTCATTTTCAGGAGAATTTTTTTGAGATTAGATATGAGATAATCCCCTTGCATAATAAAGAGGAAAGTCAAAGTAAAATGAGTGAAAAAAATGGAGCTTAAAGATGGGACATATAAAGGAAAATGGGACTCCTAACAACAGTACAAGACCTGGTGGACTGCCAAAACTATGAGCATCAGATCAACAGCATAAAGCTTTCATCTTTGAGAGAGAGGAGAAAATCAAGCTGCTTCAGATCAGAAAAAATCCACCGATGTTTCTGTTCATTCTTTCACCGTCTCCCAAAAAGAACAGATGCTGCAGTTTTTGCAGAATGACCTGAAATCCAAAGCAGATGATGATCATTACAGTTAACTATGTTTTTCGTTGTTTCGCTTTATTTCGTCAACACAAATCATTACTGTTGCGTTACACCGATAATTCTATACTGGTAAAATAAAAGAAATATTCCTTATACATTTGAAACTGTACACCAAAGCAAACTTTTGAGTACAGACCTCATGAAGGCCCCTCTGCCTAGGGGTCCTGAGTAGTCACTTGGACTACACCCCCAGCTGTGCTGCCCATGGCAACAGAGCTGAAATTGCAGTCCAATTTCAACTTCCATCCGGTTGAAGGGCACATGAGGAATCTTTAAAGTCTGTATGCAGCGTCTGCATGTGTGTCTGTGTATGATTCAGTCCCCCTCTAAGACTTTGTGTTTGACAGCCTCCCCAATCTTCATGCATCAGTATTAGAATCTGACAAACACCACACTGAAACATGCTGCTCATGCAGAATGTACTTCTATGAGAAAGCTGATAAATTTCTCGTCATAATAGTTCAGAACCATATACTGCCTATGATGAATAATGTGTAGATGTATGCTGAGCTCTGCAGTGAATTACTGGCCAGTGGCTTAATGAATGTTGACACACATGGAAAAAAGAATCACAAAGA